ACACACGCACACACAAGCACACACACGCACACACAAGCACACACAAGCACACACAAGCACACACACGCACACACACGCACACAAGCACACACACACACACACAAGCATACACACACACAGATACACACACACACACACACAGATACACACACACACACACGCACACGCACACACGCACACACACACACACACACACACACACACACACACACACACACACACACACACACACACACACACACACACACACACACACACACACACACACACACACACACACACACACACACACACACACACACACACACACATGCATACATATAGATAGAAAGATATAAAGTTTTACTGAATTGTCTTTAAACTTTTCCAGTCGTGTGCAGATAACGCAGGCAACTCTAGAGTGCTTAGGCAATGAATATGAAGTTGAACCTTCAGATGCACAGTCAAGATCCCAGTTTTTACGCGATCGCAACATCACCTCATACTTTATCATCCCACCAGCTCGAAGACGCAAGGTATGAGACATCACTTTCATAAGCAAAGAAGGAAATCTTTTGTTTGTACAACTGAGGTCTGCTTAAGGGTGAAGGAATGATAGTAATGCTTTCATGTATCAGATGTTAGAAGCTATTGTACTGTGTGGTTGCCCCAGTGATTTGATATTTCAGGATTTGGTTTCTTTTATGATTTAGTGGATAGCTTTAAGGTGTGTTTTCTCTTTTGTTTTATTTTATCTTATTTTATTTTTATTGTATAAATCCACATGGAACTATAACCAATCATAAGAATCTGTTCTATTTTGTTATATTATGCTGTTCATTTATTTCTCTGTAATAGAGTTTAAGTATGGGAGATTTGAATCACAGTAAACTCATGACAGTTCTTTTATTTTAAGGTGTAACTAAAACTTTAAAAGAATTAATTCAACATTTAGCCTTTGAATGATGAACTCATTAATAAATGATATGTTCTGTTTTTGTGCTGCTGCATGTAGTATTCACTCCATAGTGATGGATTAGGTACATAATCTGGCAGAGGATAAGCTTCAGTTTCATTCATATTGAAAAGTTGTTCTCAGAAACTCCATATTTCATAATAACAATTTAGAAAGGAGAAAAAACAAAATCTGACTGCAATTGTTAAAGTAGGAGGAAAATAGATCCTACAAAGTGGATCCCAATTGAAGGGACTGAACCAGAGATAGAGAAGAGGTAAAGTTTCAGGTTTTTTATTACATCCTGGAGTGTGGAGAAGCACTCAAAAGTATGATGGTCAGTTACATTCCAGTTATCTGATATTCAAATAACTGCTTATGCCAATGCATGCTTTGACTATGCATTATCATTGTGGTGTACATAAGTAGTCAGTTTTGTGTTTTTTACTTACTCTTAGCATTTTACATTTTCAGAAGCAAACTAGTACAGAAATTCATTTACAGTACATAACCCCATAAGTCTGAACAGAAAGTACTGTATGTCCATTTACTGAGGGTGTGAATTTTTGTATTTTTTTAGAAGTTATTGAAATTGAAATTGAGATTCAAATCCTTTATTAAGATAGTGAGTTGATTAGATATATGAATTTTGGATACGACTTCCAAAGAAAAAGAAAATAGGATAAACCAAGAAAGTTTCCATCATACCGTTTAAAATCACAACAATAGCTACCAATCATATAATCATACCAGCATTGCCTTTCTTTTTTTGAATATTGGATTACAGTACTGTCTAAAGAAGGATTAAAAGCAGAACTCTAGAATCCTTCAAATTTATCTAGCTGTCTGGGAATTGCATGAGAAGAAAGCTGGTAACTGTCCTCTTGTACAGCTAATGTTAGGCAGAAGCTCTCCTCATAGCCAGTTAAATACCTATTATTTGAATTTATTGGTTGATGATTTTTTTATTGTTGATTTGATAAAGAACTATTATTAGTCTTCTAAGAACTGCTGATCTATAATGGATTCCATGTTAGTCAGTTTAAATAATAACTGGAAAGTTTGCAATACACTAATTTCTTTCTTTCATAATTTCCTATTCCTTTGTTATTTTATATTGATTTTCTTTGGCTGTTGTTTTTTTAATACATTTTCCCCTATAAAATTTGCATATTCCCCACTATAAGATCCAAGCTTTCTGGGTTCATAAGTAATAACTTGATGGTGGTTCTCCTGATTCGGACTGGTTTGTATTTGTTTATTTATTCTTTTTTCCTTTCCACTTTACATTTCCTTTTTTTCTTACTAATTATTATGATTTTTTGCATGTTTATATTAAACCAAGTCATTATATTTGTGATTTCCAGAACTTTTGCACATCTCGGGGGTCCTATCTGTTTACTTTGCTGAAATTATAATCCTTTTACTATTTTTTGCATTTTTATATTATAGATTTTTGAATTAGTTTTTTAAAACATAATTAGAAAAATATATACAGATCATGCATACAAATTATTAATCATGAAGATATGTATATACATATATATCAAAATTATTCATTGTTTTATAACAATCAGTTTAGGAACTCAAGAGATTTGTAAAAGTCTCTTTTATGTCAAAAGCTTTCTTTTTTTCTGCCTTCATTATTCCTAGAAATGTTGCATTGAGTAAGTTTTATCTTACACATTTCTCCTAATTGTAGACTCTTGTCACTCTGTGTTGTTAGACGTACTATCTTGACTGCTAGACACAGATTATTGTATTCTCCTTGCAGCATGAGAATAGCTTTCTTAAAAGTTAGGTACTTTGCATGCATCTGTTTTCATGTGTGTGTAGTCCTTCTTATAGTAGTGCCTCTTTGTTTAAAGAATATAGATTAATAAGCCTTATGAATAAGTAGAAAGCTGCATGCATCTATTAGTATGATTAGAATTGTGCATTATATTATACTTTATAAAAGCACAGTTTGTCATTAAAATTCAGCATTCAGGGTAATTAAATGTATTATTTTATTAAGTATAAATCAAGCTAAAAAGCAATCACACTGATAATTGTTTATCTGTTTTGATATTTGATATGTCCCTTATATCATTGGACACAGCAGTAGAGACTGGGATAGAATACACTCTAATTTAAGAATTCATCTATCATTTATTGCTTTTATACCATTAATAGTTCCTCTGATTATTTTGATATTCAAGTTCCTTCATAATTTTCTTAAACAAAGTATTTTTTGGGGATAAATCTACTTTATATTCTGATGAAAACCTATTTAGTAGAATTTAAATAGATAAATCAGAAGAATTTGAATAGATAAAGTGGCTTAGGATTATATTGGCATTTATTTTATTACTTTCAAACCATGTATATATTATGCTGGATCAGAGAAACATTGATATGGGGATAATGATTATATATTTCATAGTAGTGAAGAAGGAAAGTAGAACTCTGCAGATAGGATGCTTAAGTTTAGTACGATAAATTCAATAAATGCATGTTGGTATGATATGCTTTTTTGCAAAAATAAAGCTTTTTTGATATCAGTAATGCTCTCACGCACCAAATTAGCTTTGCATAGAAGGGGTGGGATGATTCTGGAAAATTTTAGATGGTTTATCTTACCCTCTCCTATGGTACTGCATGTTATATTTTTATTAAAAGCTATGTATGTAAAAGAGTGATCCTGTATTCAGCCTCAAATGGCAATCTTCCCAGTCTTTCCTTTGCAGAAAGATTATATGAGAATGAGAGGGGACAAGTTTAGTTGTACTCCTTTGATGTTTGCTGTTGTTCATTCTTTTCCTTTGGATAAATAGTCATCAGTGGAATTTTTTATTTCTCTTGAATATCTGAAATATGAACAGTTATCAGTGGAATTGTTTATTCATCTTGAATATCCGAAAAAAAGTCAGCAAAGCCATTTTTGTCTCATAATTTGTAATAAATTTGTTGTTACCTATCATTTAAGGATTCTGTTGTCCTATAATTTTATCAGTCTAAGTCCATTGCATAATATTTTCCTTTTTCGAGTTACCAGAAGGCTATGTCTTGTTATTTCTGATATTGTTATAATGTTATAGATGATTTATATAAATATATGTTACTAGACAGTATTATTTGAATAGGTACACTTGAATTTGTATGACCTTTTTGTATTTGATCAATCAGAGCCAGAAGTGGACAGGGGTATTATATGAGCTGTCTCTTTGAAGGTTTATAGTAGATTTAACTTATTCTATCAAAAACATGCTAGAATTATGTTAATGTGTTGATGTTACAATTTTTCAGTAACATTTATATTACCCTAGAATGCATGAGTAAGTTTGTTTCATTATATTACTTACTTTTCAAGAAAAATCTTAACATTTGTGTTCAAGATCTTTGCCTTTAACTTGAATGAAAAAGATATACATATTAATGAGTTTAAAGTCTGATATGTCTGTATTTACTGAAAGTCTGTTTAGTAGTTGGGTGCAGTTGTAGTGTAGATTCAGTTATTAAAATTACTGTACTTGCTTGTAGAGCTTCTGTATCTATCCAGTAACTAACCTTTCTTCTTATTTCTGTGGTGATGGTGGGCACGGAGGGGGGGGGAGGATGACAAGCAGAGTGGGAGGAGTGCTTCCTCTGGCTCTGCCTTGCTCTCCCCCCTCTCCTCTGTCACCATTCCATCCCCACATCTCTCTCTTCCTCAACAAACCATCAACTTGGGCAACGTGTGGTGTGATCCGTACTGATCTTCACTGTCACGACTCCTGGTATGGTGACTATGATGGGGTCTCCAACACCACCATCTTACCCTTCTGTTTGGTCATGTGTGGTGGAACTCCCAACAACTTCACCACTACCTCTATCTCCACCACCATCTCCATCACTGCAGCCCTTGCTGTTCAACACTCTCCAGGTACGGTCTGCCCTAGGCTCAGCGCACCGGAGGAAGTTGTCCTTCAAGAATGTGAGCAACGTCGTGGTTCAGCTGCTACACTCCATTAAGTACTCCATGGAGGTGCCGTTCTCAAACATGGCTATTCCCCCACAAGACAAGTCAACATCCATTACCAAGAAG